GGGCTGCCGGAGAAGCCGAGAGCGCGCCCCAGGTAAGCGCCTCCGCGCCTCCTCCTCGGGGATTCCGGCGTCCGGGTGGCCCTGCCCCCGGGTAGGGAGGGACGGGGGCGGGGCCGGCGGGGCGGGGCTTGGCGGAGAAACTGAGGCAGGAGGGAAGTGTCGCAAGATCTGCAGCCGGGTCTCAGGAGTCCCGACCCCCAGCCCAGATCTGGAGGAGGAGCCGGGGAGCCCACGTTGCTGAGTATCGGGGAAGAGGGGCCTGAACTCCAGCACTCCTGGGTCTGAGGGAGGAGACAGCTGGGGACCCCAGGTCCCGGTGCGAGGGCGGAGGCGGCTGGGGACCCACACTCCTGGCCCTAGCGGGTCAACCTGCGCCCCTCTTCACGCCCACCCTTCCCATTTCCCCATCTCTGAGCCGGGCCGGCCACTCCAGGTATGTGCCGAAGTCTTGGGCGGGCCCTGGCCTGTCCCGCGAGGAGGGAACATTCCAGGAAGCAGCCTTGGGGACCCAGGGCTTCTGGAGTGTGGGCCCTCTGGGACCCGGGTGCCCGGGCCAGCCCTGCCCCCGCCGTCTGGGAGACGAATGGGCCAAGGGGGATGTAATCTTTTCCAGCCTCCTTTATAAGCGACTCCCTGCTCCCTTCCCCTCCCCTCTCCCCCCATCTGCTTCCCATCCCAGCTAGGCGCCATCACCTGGGCAGGGAAGGGGCCTCAGGGAAGGGGGCGGGCCTCAACTCTTGGGTACCCTACACTTTAGGAGGAAGACTGGGAAAGGGATGTTGGGGGTCAGGCCCCCTCCCCTTGGTGACTCTATAACCCGCCTCAACTTTCTTCCCCTAGGTGGTTGCCCCCTCCCTCTCCTGAAATGTCGGGGAGGAGGGGGACACCTGCGTTCTCCAAAGGGGCCCCCTGGAGCCTGGGGGCCCCCAGGCCTGGAGCTCGGAGGTGGAGGAGGTGCTGACAGATCGGGTAACCGCTGGCTGCTTCCCAGTCCTCCCCATGCCACCCCTTCCCAGATCCACCAGCTTCCAGAATGCTGTAGAGACCTGCCAGCCAGCCTCTCCGGGCCCTAGTGGGCCTCGCTGGCAGGAAGCTGAGGCCCCGCCTGCAAGAGCAAGTGTCTTTCTTGCAGGCATCCTGGGGCACTTGGGTGTCCCGGAAACCTGGAGTGTCCTCCACCTGCAGGGTTAGGGTCCCTCAGGCTGTGGAGACAGGAAGGCTGAGTGGGGTTGCTCAGTGAGGGTTCAGGTCCCACCTCTGCTGCTTGTGGTCTGCGTGACCTGGGGCAGGTCGTTCACTTCTCCCAGTCGCTATCCTCCCTTTGCTGGCTCTTAAGTGATAGTAGCTGAATGCGTATTAATCTAGAAGGTGGTTGTTACCCAGGTCCTAGACCAAAGGGCCTCCCGGGGCTCTAGAACCAGGCCACCCCAGTTTTAGGCAGGATGCCCCTGGGGTCTCCAAGTCTGTCCTCCCCTAAGTCTCTATCCTCTTCTCTCACTCTGGCCTCCCTCTCTCTTTCAGGTGCTGCAAGACATGCTCCCCCACCCCCCATGCACCCTCCCCATCCTTCTCCTCTTCCTCCTCCCCAGCGTTCCAATGGAGCCCCATCCTCCACCCTCGCCTCTGCCCCCCTTTCTGGCCCCTGAGTGGGACCTCCTGTCTCCCCGCGTAGCCCTATCCAGGGGTGCCCCCACTGGGCCCCCTCTGCTCTTCCTTCTGGAGGCTGGGGCCTTCGGGGAGTCGGCAGGGGCCGCAGCCAACCGCAGTCGGCGTGGGGTGAGCGAGACGGCGCCAGCGAGTCGCCGCGGTGAGCTGGCCGTGTGCGATGCGGTCAGCGGCTGGGTGACAGACCGCCGCACGGCTGTGGACTTGCGCGGGCGCGAGGTGGAGGTGGCCAGCAGCGGGCGGCAGCCCCCTCCGCCAGTACTTCTTCGAGACTCGCTGTAAGGCCGATAGCTCTGGGGAAGGTGGCCCCGGTGGGGCCGGAGCGGGCTGCCGGGGTGTGGACCGGAGGCACTGGGTGTCCGAGTGCAAGGCCAAGCAGTCCTACGTGCGGGCGCTGACCGCAGATGCCCAGGGCCGCGTGGGCTGGAGATGGATTCGAATCGATACTGCCTGTGTCTGCACGCTCCTCAGCCGGACTGGCCGGGCCTGAGGCCCCAGCCCAGGAACCCATGGAGCAGAGAACCAAGAGAGCCGGCTGCTGAAGGACCTAGGGGGCGGCTTGGCTGCTCCGAGGGCTTTCATTGGGGACCTCAACCTCGTCAGAGATCACAAAGTCACAGCTCTCTGATTTTGAGAGCTCAATCCATGCAGGATGCGTCATGCAACCAGATGGGGTTTCTAAGGATGAATAGGAGTTCTCCTGGAAGAACCTGAGGGTAATCATGAGGATGATCACAGTGGCCAGTGTTTGCTGAGTGCTTAGTATTTATCAGCCGAAACACAACCCCTCAGGTCAACGCTTGCGGACTTGACTGCCGGAGGCCCTCGGCTTCACGAACTGACCACCTGGTCTCAGAGGACGTTGCCTTGCCCATGCTGGGGAGAGGGACAGGAAATATGTTAAGTGGGTGGAGAGGGTAGAAACGAACATGCAGACAACAGGCCAGGGAACCTTGAAAACATGGTCCATGGGGACTGGCAGATGGCATGATGGTTACGTTGCTGGACTCCCACATAGTTGACTGCAGTTCAAGTCCCAGACCTGGTTGCTTAAAACTCATCCCAGGTGCATGTACGCGTGTGCCCAAAATCCTGGGAGGAGACTGGAGGAGAAGGGATTGTGGCATCCTTCTTCTCCCCCCACCTGATTTCTTGCTTTCTGTCTCTTTGGTGAGTGCACAAGGTTTGTAGGGGGAAAGAAAAGAAGAGAAGAGAAAAGAAAAGAAAACATGCCTCACACAAGGCCTTTCGGTATGAGTTGAGGGTTCAAATGAGAACTTTGCAGTTTTGAGGTAGTGAGCAACAGTCCCCGCCACCCGGGAAGCACTAGCCAAGGGGAATGGTGAGTGATCGGGCACTGGGGGGCTACAGTCCCGTGTCTACCCCCTTCTCCATTCCAGCCTTTACACCACATTGGGGAAGAAAAAGGAAAAAAACGAACAAAACCACCCCTTAAATGCGCCCAGTTTAGGGGCCGGCTCCGTGGTTTGGTGGTGATGCACTGCTCCAGGGAAGCCGGGCCTCACGTGGCAACCTCTGCTCAGTTCCCTAGCCTGGTCGTCCTGCCATACTCGGGCACGTGTATGAGTGCCCAGGGTCCCCCGGCCGGAGGACGGGAAGAAGGGGCTTGCGGTCAGGGACCCGATGGAAGGTGCCCCTCAGTCATGCACACACATGTATGTGCACATGCCCTCTTACCATGAAGGAGGGGGTGGAGATTCAGAGGTCACAGAAAAGGGATTAAAATACTTTTTAAAACATTTGGCCACAGGGTGCTTGTGCTTGTCAGAGAGGAAGGGGAAGTGAGAAATCACTCCAGGGGAGATGGCCATGCCACAGTCCCTTCTCCATCCTCCTCTTAGGATTTTGGGCATGGACGGATGCACATACACTGAGTGATTTTCAAGCTGCCAGGTCTGGGATTTGAGCCGTGGTCAGCCATGTGGGAGTCCAGCGCCTTAACCACACCACCTGCTGGTTTCCAAAAAGGGAAAAATCTTTTTTAAAAAATTGTCTCGATTGAGTAGGATGTGAGGTTCTGACCAGCCGGCCAGCCCTCTGGCTAGGACCCGGGCTAGGACACTAACAGGCTTTGAGAAGGGTCCTCGGTATGGCCGGGGGTGGGGGCAGTCAGTGGGACCCGGGCCGGGCTGCAGAAGGCAGCCTCTGCTTTCCTTGTCTGACGTTTGGGCTGGTGGGACAGGATGCGAGGCTGAGGTAGAGGCCTTGACCAAAAGCTCTTTATGGTGAGGAAGTTCCAAGTGAGGTGAGGGCAGATCCCGCTCCCTCAAAATATTTCACCGTTGCTTCTGCTTGACGCATGTTCCCACTCTGTCACGTGCTCAGGACCCACACATCGCACATCTTCCTGCCCCCCAGGGCACAGTGGGGTTGACCGCTTTGGTTTCTCCATCTCCTTGTTTTAGACCTGTGGTCCCTTCTCTTTTTCGCTGTCTCTAACTTCCGGCGTCTCTCGTCTCTGAGCTGGTATCTCTCTCTGTCCCTGTCTCTCACTCACCTCTCCACACCAGTGTGTACTTCCCCCTCACTAGGCAAAGCTCTTCCACACCCTCCTCTTTCTTGCTAGGTATTTCCCTGTGTATTTGTGGGCCGTTCCCCCTTCACCCACCCCTGTATTCAGGTGGGATTTTCATCGAGTCGGGCGGGCAGGATGGCCAACGGTCCCTAGTGCCCACGTCCCTAGCAGGCTTCTGGAACTAGTTAGCGGAGGTGGGCAGACTTGCCAGGGGGAGAGGGAGGGTTTGGACCCTGTGGAAGTGGGGGTGTTTCTCACAGGTTCCCTGATGTGCTGGGGGTGTCTCTGTCTCTATGTCTGCAGGCCCCTCCTCCCATCTCTGTCCCCTTCTCTGTTGCTCTGTCTCACCCCTGTGATCTCCAGGTCCCTGAAAACTGAATTTCTGTTTCCGCTTCCTGTTCTGCTCCGTCTTGGCCCTCCTCTCTCGGAGCCCCTGGCCTGCTCCCCATGTTTCACTGTTTCTGTGCCCCTGTTGGGAGGTTGGGAGTCTCTGTCCTCTCTCAGTCCCTGTCTCTCTTTCCCCGGGTCTCTTTCTCACTATCCATCCATATACCTGCAGGCACTTCATTGGCTAAGCTCAGGGTGGGCGGGTTCTGTCACCCGGGGCAACAGCCACAACAAGTTTGCTCCTGCCCGGCTCCGGGTGAGGGGGCGGGACCATGGCTGGCCGGACTCTGGCTCTGCGTTATGGGCCCTTGTGGTCCCCCATCTCTGAAACCGAGGTGCCGGGATCCTGGCCCAACTGGCATCTCACCAGCAGCGGAGTTGCCCACCACCTCGTCCCGCCTGCGCCCTTCCCCCCGCCCACCGTGCAGGTGAGAGGACCCTAGCTTGGAGGGCCCTAGGGGTCCCTCCAGAAACCCGAGTGCTACGAGAAGAGGACTCGGGGCTGGGGCTTGGACTAGTGTTCGGAGGAGGGTCCTGACGCTCAGAGAGGAGGGGCCGGGGAACCTGGATGCCTGGACCTGACAGCCGGCGGGGAGAGGTCTGAGCTGGAGGGGGCTCCCGAGTCCCTGCAGCCGACGTCCTGCCCCTTCCCACCAGTCCACGGTGGCCAAGCCCCTACCCCCGGCCGCAAAGCAGGCTCCGCACATCTGGGCTTTCGACGAGGTCATCAGCAGGTGGGAGACGACCTCGGGCTCGGCTTACGTGCCCAAGAACCACGGCGGGCCCTATGCGCAGCCCAGGGCCCCAGAGCCTGCGGACCCCACGCGGACTATGGGGATCAAGGATTTAGGAGAAAAGGTGAGGTTCTGAGATGGCAGTGCCTTCGGGGACCAGGGCCTGGGACCGCCCTTGGTCCCCTGTGCTCTGACATCGAGTCTCTGGGCCGCCCTCCTGCAGCTCAGACACCGCGGCTGGCGCCACCCTCTGACCATAAAGCACCAGAGCAGCGAGACTAGGGCGCAGTACACGGGCTGTCCCGGCCTGGAGCAGCGCGCCACCTCCCACGCCCGGCCCCTGCGGCTGGGGCGCGCCGACCACCTCCCCGGGGGGCCCTTCCCCGG